TCGGCCGCCGAGAAGGGCGGGAGCTCGATCGTCTCGCCTAGCGTCGATGGCTTGAGCGTTGCAGATTCAGATAAGAGGATTACCATGGGGACGCCACACTTGGCGGCCACACACGTTGTCGCCAAGCACCTTGGTCTTGCCGTCGGGCCCGGTCTCGGAGCCAATGTAGCACTTCTACACACCGACAGATATATATGATCGCCTTGGCCCATGGAGTGGCCGCTGCGCGTACCAGGTCTGTCTTGAAGGCCACATGACGCTTGCCAAACTTGGGTTGCTTCCGCTTCACTTGCTCCTACAACGCATGGTACCATGCAGTTGAGCGATGATACATGGCGAGAGACGGGCGTACGAGGCTCAGGATCGGGTCGGTCGACGGCAGCAGCTTGTAAGCGAAGAGGGCCAGCATGAGGATGGGGAAGATCCCGCTGTCGAAGAAGAGCTCGAGCACTTGCATGACTTCGGGCGGGACGCCCGGCGGTGCTTCACGTGCCATGGCCAGGTCGGGGCTTGGTGGCAAAACGTCAACTGTGACGACCGTGGCACTCACGGTGTATTTTTTTGCACCCAACCGCGTCCACATACAAAGATCCATACGGTTTATACATGGTGCATTGTATTTTCTTAACGGTTGACGTGGCGGTTAGCACAGACGCCACGATTACGACCGGCTGGAGGTGGCGATATACACCGGTTGACGTGGCAGGCGGGTCCATGGCATCGAGCTCTCGCCGCCATGGCAGGCGGCGCGCTTGTGTAGAAGGCGGAGCAAGCGGTGCTTGCACGACCACGAAGACAACGGGTGCGTTCGACCTCTGCCGAGCCGCGGTCAAGCATGGCCAGCGGCCGCTGGACGCACGCCATTGCTACACTGTAGGTAGCTGTCGGTCGGGCTGTCGGTGGGACTGAGCTTAGGCGAACTGTAGCAGCGGCGAAGGCTGCATAAACGGTGGTGGGCGTGGTGACTGGCGTGCGAGCTAGCTATTGCGGTCATGGGCGCGCGTGTCTTCCACGTCCGCGCGCGAGGATGTATCCTATGTTCTATGAGTATCCTGTCCAGGGGCCTCGCGACCGCATCATTCTCGTGCTAATGCAAGCATGGTCGAGGCCTCGTACGTCGCCGACGGCCAGAGGCGCGGCCCATCGCACGGAGCTCGTTGCAGGGCAGGCTGCATGGATATGTTGCTGCTTGCGACAGGTAATTTATCGTGGTTGCGTGCGGCGCTGCAGAGGCGTGGGCTGCAGGCGAGAGCTGCGCGTGGATGGATGGCGCCTGGCACGGTGACGGGTGTTGTCGGTATGAGCCATTGCCTCGACGCGCCATGGGCAAGGGCCGCGGCTGGCCTGTCGCCGTGCCCCGGGCGCGACCCGGCTTTTTTTGAAATTTCGACGAAGGTGGAATTTCGGTTGCAGCAACGGTCGGGATGCGCTCGTCGTACGAGACGATCCAGCGCAAGCGGCGCCGGACGTTCCAGGCGTCGCCGAGCGCGATCCGCGTGCTCCTCGACCTGGGGCTCATGAGCCTCATCGCCGACTACCAGGATGGCATCTACCTCTGCTTGCGGCCGTACTTTCTCGGGCACAAGATGCTGCCGGGCGGCCTCGACGCCTACCGCGGCGACAACGTCACGGCGCTGCTGTACGTGAGCAACAAGCGCGCACGCATTTGGCTCAGCGTGCTTGGCGAGCATGACCTGGAGCTCGTCAAGCGGCTTTTGCGCTGCAAGGAGCTCGCGGCCCCGCTCCGGCTCTCGGACGGGCGGCACGGAACCCATTCGTCCCGCGAGCTGCTCGACATTGCGTCTGAGATCGGCGACGTCCCCACCATGATGTACCTCCACGACCAAGGCATGGGCTGCACGTCGTTTGCGATGGACCGCGCCGCGGCCAACGGCCATGTCGATGCCGTCGCCTTCTTGCACACGACACAGAAGGCCTCGCCATCCGACGACGTCCTCTACGGCATTATCAACGCGCTCTCGCGCTGCACGTGCAGCCGCGAGCACAACGTCGGGCAGTTTGCGTGCATGCGGTACCTCGTCGAGCAGTGCGTTGTCACCCCTGCGTCGGCGATCCGCCATGGCGACGACGTCATGCTCGCGCTCATTCTGCTCGGGCGCCTCGACATGATGCGACTCTTCCACGAACATGGCTTTCATCAGCTCTTTCGCGCCGGTGCGCTGGACGCGGCCGCCAGCCGCGGCGACCTCGCCATGGTCACGTTCCTCCACGAGCATCGACCAGAGCGCGCCTCGACGGCGGCGATGGACCACGCGGCGACGCACGGCCATTTGGACGTAGTTCGCTTCCTGCACACACACCGCGACGAAGGCTGCACGCCCCGCGCGATCACGGCCGCGACCACCGCCGGCCACCGCGATGTCGTCGAGTACCTCTATGCGAATCGCCCAGAGCGCTGGTTCCATCCTGAAACGATCGAAGAGCTCGCCGAGCATGGCGACGTTTCCATGCTCGAGTTTGTGCTGGCGAGCGACAATGCGCCTCTTGCGATTGTGACCAAGCACGCACTCAGCGCCGCGATCCTTCGCGGCCAATTGGCCATGGTCACGCTTCTGCATGCAGCGCGACCCACATTGGCCGCCCGGCGCATGGCGGTCGTAAACGCGGTCGACGAAGGGTTCTTGGAGGTCGTCGAGTACGTCCTTGTGCACCTTCCTGGAAGCCGCACGAGCCAGCTCTTGTCAAGGCTTGTCTGCGCTGGCCACACGCACTTGGTTCAACTGTTTGTCGAGCTGCAACGTGATGTGGTGACGACGGCGACGCTCTGGGATGCCCTCGCGTCCGACTCTTGGCCCACGATGACCTTTCTCTTTTCGACGTTTCTGCATCTCTCGACGCCGCACCTTGTGAACCGCATTGTCCAGCGCAACTACAAGGCGCTGCTGGATCTCCATCTCAAGGACGCTCCCGATCTCATCACGCCGTCGGCGCTGCATGTTGCGGCCAAGCATGGCTTTTTGCGGCTCGTGCAGTGCCTTCCATATGGTTCGCACCGCGCCATGGACTTGGCGGCCGAGCACGGCCATCTCCGCGTCGTCAAGTACTTGCATGCGCATCGAGACGACGGCTGCTCGACGTACGCGATGGACAAGGCAGCCGAGCACGGGCATCTCTCGACGGTTCAGTTCCTCCATGCCCACCGGAACGAGGGCTGTACGTCGCACGCGCTCTCGTCGGCGGTCCGCAACAATCACATCAAAATTGCTTCGTTCCTTCTCAAGCACCGCACGGAAGGCTGTGTGCTGCACGCGATGACGGCGGCGTGTCAGCGCCAGCTCTATCCATTGGCCAACATGATGCGGCACTATCCCATTGGTCCGTGCTGCTGCGTCGTCTCGAGTCCTTACCCTCAAGGGATGCGTATGCGGGAAGAACGCGAGTGGTTTACGGGCATGACGGATCAGGTGCCGTGGTACCCTTCGGACGACGACGACGACGGTGACGACGGCGACGACAATGCGTTCGACTCGGACAGCGACGACGACGACGACGACGACGGCGGCGGCGGCTACCCGTACGACCCGTTCCACCGCATGCTCGGCTGGTTTATGTAGCTTTTTTGGGCGTCTATATATATATATCAAGTGGATCGATCCGTGGGGACGGAGGGCGCGTGGATAAATACATTGGATACGATTGGATACTTGGTGCAAGTGTTGGATTTCACTCTGTATACGAGCCGATAGCATACCGAGTGGTTGTTTCGTTGCGTGTGCATCGTCAAGCGGTCGGCGGGCAGGCCAAGGGCAATACATGGAGCCTCTACAAGTACCTTCAAGTCCCTTGGTCATGTCGGCCACCAGATAACAAAGCAGCGCGTGGATAGCTTGGATGTATTCTACTCTGGTGGTGTAGACCCTATCCCTCGCACCGGTCCGCAGCACCGTCCACCTGGCACCTGACAACGAGTCGAGCCTCCCTGCACGACCATCTCTCTACATGTGTCAGAATCTGTCCTGTCTCGTTGGTCAGGGAGTCTTGGGCCGAATGCAGCATCAAGCACGCGAGCGCAGCTGTGAAGATCCAAATGCGATGCCACCATCACTGGTAAAATGAAGACAGCACCCGCACCTCCTCCCAAATGACCTCGTCCTGTGGGTGCAGCAAGCATCGAAACAAAAGGCGGCCGACAAAGCGCCATCTGCATCTTGCTAGATTCGATACGCCACCCACATGGCGCGTTCGATATTTGGTTCGTCTCGAGACGACCGCCCGCATGGGTGCATATATCGCGCGGGTCGGTGCATCCGTCCAAAGCGCACGCAGTTGCCATGCATCCTCCTCTCGACCCTCTCAATAGGTTCGCATCGTACAGTACGTTGTACGGGGGACGCGATCAACAGGTGTCAGAATGCATGGCCACCTGCTTTTTTCGACAAAGACAGAAATTTGTTATAAAGGACAGAATTACGGCGACTGAAAGAGCGTGATCTTGCGGCCAAAGAGTGGCTGCACCGGGCGCGCGCCGTCTTCGTGGATCTTGTCCTTGTACATTTGCAGCTGCGCCTTGGACATGGTTTGCACGGCCGTGACCACCGTCCACTCGACGCCCTCCGTGTACGGCGGCGTCGTCAGGGATCCCGAGTAGCGGTACACACTCGAGGCCGACGTGAGCTTGAGCGGCGCCGCGTTCACGTTGGCCACCGACACGTTCGAGTGCACGCCGCCGAGGTCCTTGATCGAGGGCCAGAAACTCTTGAGGAATGCATTCTCGTCCGGGCCCTCCTCAAAGAGGATGCCAATGACCGCGAGCGATTTGTCGTCGGCTTGGTGCACAATGTGCATCTCGAACGGGTACTTGTAGCCGCGCACCGTGTGCTCGCTGGGCGCGTGGAAGTGGAATTGCGCCGTCTTGTACGCCTTGGCGTTGAGGGCGAACGTCGCGTCCTTGCCGCCGTCCCACTTGACCTTGATGGTGTCGCCTTCGTTGATCATGACGCCGTTCGCTGCGTTGGTAAAGGCCATCGTCACGTTCTGCGTGTTGGGCGTCGGCTCGAGCTTGGGCAAGTCGATCGGCGATTGCGACTTGAGCTCCGGGTCGGGGCAGACGGCCGCGACCGCTGCCGCCAGCGCAAGGAGCGTCGTGGAAAAGAGGCGCATGCTCGGTGGTGGTGCTCGAGAGGGGAAATTGAAAAATGAAAAAATGGCAATTGAGGTGACGCGACCACGGGAAAAGCGTGGCGTGTTGCTCACACGTCGCCGCGCTGGATGCCAAGCACCCACGTTGGCGATGTGCAACCAGCTGTTTCTCCATGTGGCCGTCTGCGTTCAAGTCTGACGCATGATGAATCGATGCATCGATGCAGCCGAGAACCATCAAAGCAAGCCTCGATCACCCAGCTCTCTCAAAATCTCTCAAAAAAGAGCAAGCGGGCGACTTGCCACCGAACCCGTGCGCCTGAACGCTGTCGTTGGCACCGAGCGGGTTACCTTATCGGTCGTAGTATGCGTAAAGCCCATGTGGCGTGCGTGGCGATGGGCAACAGGGTACTACCATCGTGCAGCCAACGATAACGGAACGCCGACTGCCCGTAGACACGGCAGAGGCGCGGCCACGCTGTCATCCCCCCCGACGCGCTTTGTGAAAGTACAAGCTGCACCCATCATATCGGTATGCAGCTTCTACAGTGTACTGCTTTTGTATCCTCGGTGGCGACAGGCGCTTGCTTGCGCCGGCAAGATGAGGCGCCGACAAATATATCGAAGAGCGAACGAGATGGCTCGTGCTGGTGTGGTTGAACCGACGAGGCAACGACGGCATGACGCCAGTTTCCATTTCTGCCAACTTGAGCATACGGGAGAGAGAGCGATGGGCAGACCAAATATATTCTCGATTTTGGCGCTGATCTGGCCTCGGATCGGGACGGGCAAGCGATGGCACGCGCCATAGCAGGTGGTTTCAGCGCCTTTACGTTCCCAGAAAGCTCGATGGTAGCACAGTCGGGGCTGGCGATTTGGCTGAAAGCGCTGGCGATTTGGCCAGAGAATGCCGGTCGTTTGTCATGGAACGGCATTGCGATTGGGCACAGCGCGCTGAAATGACGACACGTCTGTTCGAGCTCAGTCCCTCGCGTCTGGTGTGCGACTCGTCGCCGCGTTTGCACGGCCGCTTCGCGACCAGCGGTCCTTGCTGCTCTATGGATTACTTAGAGGCACGGAAATTCGCATTTTGTAAAAACGCCAGCAGAAGTGGCAGAAGTGGGTGTACTTACTTGTTTGCTATGTATTAGTACAGGACAGTAAGAGGCACAAAGAAGGGCGAGCTATCTTCGTCATCACGGCGCCATGGACGGCACGCGTCGGGCGATTAGGGGAACGGTGGGCTTCAATCCATTAAGATTCGCCTTCTTACAAAACACCAAACAACGAATAGAACGCGCATCCCGTACACCTGGATACCGTTCGTTCATTGGGTGACCTAGCACTTGCTGATTTTAGTAAAATTGGGTGACCAACGTCACCGCATGGTAAAACGGACGGATGACACCAAGGCAAACCGTCGGGGGGACAAGCGTCGTTAGTGGTATGCACACGGCGCGTTCCTGCATAGAGTCTCGAGAACCAAAAGACCGATATTGATAACATTGGATTCTGTAGCGGTGTGTGTTGAAAAGTGCGGTCCAGGTAGATACACTCATTCAACCCTAGTCGCTCGACTGTAATAGTGTCTGTCGTATCGCTCTACTGCTCCTCCGTTGTCGACCGAATTGGGCGAAAAGGACAAGCTTCCATTCAGAAATTGTTGTAATGGTTTGATATACTCGGCACTCGAACAGTTCTTGCTTCGAGTGCGACGTTCACTGGATGCGAGCGCACATTTCTGACTTCGGGCTCGCTGGTGCTCTTTGCCTTGCGTGGATAGATCGCGTGGTGTAAAGGACACACCGCAAGGTGCTTCTTCCCTTCCAAATCCAGTTCCAAAGCCAGGAAGCTTCCTCTTCTAGGGATAGGGATCTCGGTACAATCCATGATATAGGAAGTGGCAAGTGAGGAGGAACGGTTGAAAGGCTCTCGCAACAACTTAGCGCAAGGGGTTGTTGCGATGCTGCTGTAGTTAGTGACCTCCTGAAAAGATACTAGCACGTATTCGCGGCGAGAAGCAACCTTGTTCAGTGTGTCCATTGGTGTGCCCACTATCTAGGACATACTGCTGCAGTCTATGTATGTCCTTGATACGTTCGGGCTGCCCCTTACTTTGCACAAGACGTCATATCTCTCTTTTGGCTAGTCCTGTCGTAAAACAGAATCTTTCCTATATCTCAAACTCCCAGCATCATTTTAAAGAACTAGTACTGATGTACTGCTTGCCAACATCAGCTGCAATCAACGCGCGTCGATCCAAATCGGAATGTGCGTCGAGTCCGTGTGGGTTCAAAACTCGGTGTGTCATGCTTGTATCACTATAGTACGCCACCACAAAGTTGTCAGCTACAAGGACGACAAAAGGAAAAGAGTGATATTGACAGAGCCTTGACGAGGTTTCATGGGGACTGAAAGAGCGTGATCTTGCGGCCAAAGAGCGGCTGGACCAGGCGCGCGCTGTCTTCGCGGATCCTGTTCTTGTACATACATTGTATCCAACTGCTATTGCGTCATCGTTTATGTTATCGGTCGCGCCATACCGCTCGCATGTGCAATAGGTATCGACGATCGGCTGCTATTCGAACAGTACGTCGAACAGAGAATAGACTCGTTGAGCCAGCTACATTGGACTCAGCCGTTCGATTTGAACTCGTCAGACGTTGCCAACTACGACATGCGACGGCCCTTGGATAAATCTAGGGCACTCGGTCATACAGGGGGTCTATCGCCACCCACCGATGGACCCACGAGGTCGGCCGCCCATGCCTGTCTCGATTTGACGTCTCGCACGTCCAGAACGATCGCGTCTTCCGCTCTTGCCTACCACTGCCAAGAGGGTAGCTACCCGTGAACGTCGTCGCTCAGCTACACCTGCACTACAGTCAAAAGGCAGAGCCAACCGGTTTTTCGACATTTTGAACAGCTCGACAAGGGCATCGAGGTTCACGCCCTAGAGATCTTTGTGGTGCACGCGAGATGGCGCTTGTTGTTAGACAGAGCAAGTAGTGTCAACCTATGGCGGCGACCACTTTGCATTGAGCTTCGCGGATCGCGCGTCAGTCCACGCTGGCCTGGGCCACGTTGCTTCACCGAGTTTACCCAGCGAAGAAAGTCTGCCATTCGTATCTAACTCCATGCAAATGGAGGACCCGCTTGCACAAAAACAGAAGCACCAGTGCTTCGGGATTATTTTTAATCAAAATAACCACTGACATCTGGGATTCAGCGGCGTTGCTTGGGGCTTCGCACTGCTTAGCCGTGTAGACGACGTGACGTGGCAGCAGCAGGCAGCAATGTACGCCATCGACGACATATTTCCCGTTCTTTACCACGCAGCACGATCGCTTCTTTCGAAGCAAGGGCCACTTGCC